TATTTACTAAACTTCCTATGTGATGACAGTTCCTCATTTAGTCTTTACAGAATTTCAAAGGAGATACACATTACTCTTCATAGCTTACAGATGATGTAACTAAGACTCAAAAGCCTCCACAGCAGAAGCCCATCTGAAAACCTTTTAATCTATAACCCAGGCAAACACCTCTGGGCTATTCCTATAGGCAAGCCTACTCATCATTTTCAGCTCCTACAAGAAAGATATAGGCTATGTTGGGCCTAGAGCAAGATGGTCATTTCTTTTACACTGTATGAATTGCCCTCTTTTGTTGAAAGCAGGAATCTGTAACAGAATCACTGAAGGAGGTGTGTGGGTGTTTTGTGTGAAGGAGAGAAAGTGGAGTGAGCACTCAGGCAGTCAGTGAATCAGTGACACTCTTGTTCATTAGTTTCTAAAAAGAGATTTCCACACTATTGTGATCTTTCCTTTATCTCCCTTTTGCCTTTTTTCTTTTCTTTTCTTTTTTTAACCAAATACCAGGTTTAACATTCACTTGGTTTTCTCTTCCTTTGCATGTGACTCTCCCATATCATTTCCGCAAGGTACTGGATTTATGTGCATCAGCCCTGTTTTCAAAATTATTTGTTGACTATGTGGATAGGCCAATTAAGAGGTATATGGAAATCATCAAATGGATTTCCACTTTTTTATTGTGCAGAACCTGATTTTTAGACAGGTAATACAGCCAGTCAGAGACAAAACTGGCACTTGTGGCAAAGTTCTGCCTCAAATTGAACACCCTTCTCACTGTGCAACATGCTTGGTCGCATAGCTGGCCCAAAAAGAATAAGCGTAATCACTGGTTTGGGCCAAGTATATTACTTAATTCAAGCCAATATCATCTTATTCATTTTTAATGACAAAATTGGGGAATCAAGAGATAGAAATCAGTGTAGGCTAGTAGAAAGACTACACAGGCGTCATAACTAGACAGATCTAAATTTGATTTTAGCTCCTTCGTTTACTAGCTGCATTCACTTGGGCAGGTTGTTCAACTTTTCCAACCTGGTTACTACCTGAGAGTTCTAAGAATTACATGCACTGAAATATATAAATATCTAATGTATAGTAGATACTCAATAAGTATTGGTTCCCCTTAACTCCCATCTGCCACAAAAGAGGTATTCCATTTTTAGCAAATTCCTTTAGCTATTTGGGTCTCAGTTTCCTCAACTATAATATGTGAAGAAACTGAAAGAATTCCAAATTTCCTCTCAGCTCATCAAGAATTAATTCTTTAAAAGAATTTTAAAGAAACTCACCTTCTTTTAAATTCAACAAACACTTACCTACTGCCTATCCTAGGCACTCAACAATTCCAATCACCGCCAGAGAGGTATCTATGCATTCAACAAAATGGGATCCAATTCTATAGTACTTTAAATTCCACAAAGAAAAATCATTATGCAAACAAAAGAACCCTAGCTTTAAGGAAAATGTTACAAGGATGTGACAAACCTAATGTTAAAAGTAAAAATATTTTCAGAGTATATCTTAAACTATTACTCTCACTTTTTTACTAGGATGGAAAATGAGAATGAAGTGTTTATACTATAGATATAAAACGAAAGACTCAAGAAATAGTTCAGAGAAATGAGTGCTATTTTTTCAAAGACAAAAAATGAGAAATACACTTCTCTTCCCATATGTATCTTATGCTAGGTCTTAAATTTTAAGATACTTGTGTCATTCTAAAACTCAGGGGAATAGAATTTATTCTGAGAGATTGTTTTACAGTAATAAACAGCAATATAAGAAGATATTTTTATATTAAACTTCTTATTTAATTTATATTAATGTAAATGCCTGAATCTTGTAAACAAGACCTGGGAAAATATTAAATAATCTTAACTACAAAGTTTTTTCTCCTTTTCTCTGTCATGAATAAACCATTATCAATGGATTTTCTGTTATACATAAAGCTTTTTGCAAATAATACTTCACATGCTTAAAAGACTATTTAAAATCATGATCAGGGCTCCTAATCTGGTTTCCCAAATATTCATTTGAGGTTTACCCTGTTACCATACCTGTCAATATTATTCATCTCTATTGTAGAATTTTATAATGCATATCTTAGACAATAAAATATTATAAACAAAAAAAGATTTCCTTTTGTGAGTATGAAGATACACAGAAAGGGCCCATAACATTTTCCTTTTATGAGTATGAAGATATACAGAAAGGACCCATTTAAATATTATCTCAATGTGTGAAATTAACAATATAATTATTTTTTAAAGTGATAGCTGTTTTCTATGGGGTAATTATTTTTCCCTAAGTGATGATATAGAATAAAATATGTCCCCAACACAGGTTGTATACAGAGGTCCAGAGAGCCACAGATACCTGCTTTGTATTTACCAAGTATAGGATAAACCATAGGCAGAAGGCCTGGATCCCATTTCTGTTATTGCTACAAACTTTATATATGATTTTTGGACAAGTCACTTCACCTTTATAGTTCTGTTTCTTCATCTATGAAACAAAAGGTGGAACTATTTGATGCCTGTAAGATTTTCTTCTGGGTTCTATAATTAACATCTGTGTGGATCCTCAATACAGCATTTGAAGGGCACAGGACATGGGGCTGAAGTACTCACAGGAGAGCACTTACTTTGTGATGCTACTGAGACCAGCCAGCTTCTGTAAAGAGCCAGACACTAAATGGCTGGCTTTGTGCCTTGGCTGAAGAATATCACCTTTGCCTGTGAAGGCACTTAAAGAAGCACACTATATTCTAAAGAGATTTAAAAGTAACAGGGAGTGTCTGAGCCCTCCCAACCTGAGACCCGTCATGTCCTTAGATTTTCAACTTGGTTGGCAGAGGCATTGAGTTCATTTAGGCAACCTATGCTTTCTGATCCATATGATTACGAGATATAATGCTGAAAATTGGTGGTTTTCATCCCCAGTTCCACAGTAGCCCTTGAAAATACATACATTTTACACAGTAACTATATTGTTTATGGCAACCCCTAGGACACCTTCATAGAAGAAAGTTTGCAATAGTGGTACATATGGTATGAAGTATGAAGTGGCCTTAAATCCTGGCCCTGCTATTTTTCTGCTGTGCAATCTTAGGCAAGAAGCTTAACCCCCCTGGACTTCAGATTCCTTTTCTGTAAAATAGGGAAAATAATAAAACGTAACTCATAAGGTCGTTGTAAGGGCTAATCAAGACAATGCATGCAAAGCAGTTAACACAGAGCCTGGCATAAAGTGGATGTTAGATGGAATAGATAGATGGATCCTGGGACTTGGGGCTCCCTAAAAAGATTCATTTAAAGGCTACAAACAGTTTGCTGGCAGTGAATAGCATCTGCTGGTCTTTCCTCTTCTGAACAAACAGCATGGCAAAGATTCAAACCTGGGCTCAGCTCTTACTAATAGGATCCTACAGGAATTAGGAGGAAATGAGATTATCTCAAAAGTAGAAAAGAGTTAGTCTGGTTTAAGACAAGACCTTTAAAAGAGATATAAACACATATACAGACACCCACACACACATTTAATATGGTCATACAGAATCAGACAAAGGGGATTATTATCCCTTACGCCTTCTCAAGTGTTGCCAACTTTAAAAGCTACAGAACCTGATAACTGGATGGTTCCCTAGAGACTGTCTAGTTGAACTCCCTCACTGGACAGATAAGTAGCTGAGGCCCAGAGAGGTTAAGCAACTTGCTTGAGGTCATTCAGCAGTAAATGGCCGTGCAAAAATAAACAAGCCTCTGACCTTTCCCACTTGCCCACCCAGTACTTGATCTGGCATCTTTCATCAGGCCAGCATCCTGTCCTTGCTGTGCCAGGGCATTTAAAAAATAAATAAATGATCTACACACAAAGGTTTCTCACTCCTGCCCAGGTTCCCAAAAAATACAAAAGCAACTTCAGCCCCCAAGACGCTCTTTCCAGAGCCTCCCCTCATGGGACTGAGGGAAGATCTCACTCCATATTGTGCCCTCTCCCAAACCCTCTCCGTGCGTCTATTCCTTGTCTTCCTTCCTCACATCCACTCTTAAAGGTTGCTTCTAGAAATTCCTCACCTCAAAGGTCAGACACTTCCCCAGGCAGAAGTTAAAACCTGTTAATTTGCAAATTCTCTGCTTCCCTCAAATGCTATACTTTGAAACAGGAAATACAGACCCGCTTAAGTTTCCTCCAGCCTCCTTGAGTGAATTCAGTCACAAGTGATGCCTCCCTCCAGAATATAACTAGGTCCATTTATAAAGCATGTGAGTGTGTGAAGGGCTGGAGAACCCGTAGGTATGCCTAACACAGGGAAGAGGAGGAAAAGGCCCCCAAGGAAGGAAAGATCAATAGCAGGGAGAGGGGAAACCGGTAGAAGGAACAGCACCCTGACCAAATTGCAAAGTCTGGATGCCAGAGACAGCTAGCTGCTGGGACTGACTCACTGCTGAGGGGCCGGAACTGCGAGGAGATGGCACAGTTTTAATTATAAGCTCTGACTAACAACAGACCGGTGCCCCCAACTGCACACGTAGGAAGCAGGCAGAGGCTACCCCAAAGTGCCAGAAACAAGGAACTCTCTGTTCCTCCCGCTCCCTTTTAGCCTCTGCTCTAAGGCTTGCCACCCCGTGGATACACCCGGAGCTCGCCAAGTTGTCGCATCGCCCCCAGTGGGGAACGCCCCTCCTTGCTCTCCTGACAGTTGGAGGGAAGCACCGAGCAGCGGGGGTGTCTCCGTCCTACCAAGAGCTGCCGGTCCCTCGTCCCTGAAAGGAGAAACTGGTCGGAGACAATGAATGGCTTTCGCTGAGCGCCTGAAGCTGACGGGCGTGAGGCGCTTCTCGCCCCTAAGCAGCGCGCCCGCGTGGGGCGTCCCTCAGACCAGGTCTCCGCTCTGAGGGTGAGAAGCCTACGTGTCACAGCCAAGGGTTCCTTCCCCACACGTGCACCCACCCGAAAGACCAGAAGGAAGGCTTCGCTTTTGCCTTTCCCCCACTCCCTACCTGAATTCCGGGACCAGGTTAGGCTGCAACCCGTAGAAGGCAGCGGAAAGAGTAACCAGCCACCCCGGCTTGTAACTCCCATTCTCGCACTCCAGATAAGGCGGCGACCACTTGACGTGGCTCTTGTCCCCGCCGAGCCCGTCCCTGCGCCGCCAGCTGTGGCCCAGGCCCCGGGGACCCTGATTGGGGCCTCGGCGGTGTAAGTGGGGCCTCCACTTGCGCCGGAGGCCGTGGAACCACTCGGTCTCCAGGGTGGCGTTGGCCAGGTGAGGTGCGGAGGAGGACAGGTCTTGGAGCAGGATGCGGCTCTCCTCGCGCGTAGCCTGGAGGAAGACCTGTGGGGCTGGCGCGGACAGCGACTCGGTGCTGAAGGTGATGGCCGCCCGGGAGATGCTGGGATCGCCCTCCAGGAGGCTCCGCACCAGCGCCTGGTACCACTCCAGGTCGTCCTGCAAGTTCTGCTCCCGCGACTTATTGCTCTGCAGCATCATGTTGAGGAAGTTGGTGGCGTGTGTCAGTGTGTCCAGCGCCTCGTGCAAGGAGGGATGCGCGTTGGCCAGGGCTGGCCACTTCCCCGGCAGGCCGGCCAACTCGTAGCGGCCGGAGCAGTTGGCTCGCTCCAGCTGGTGGGAGTCCCCGGTGTAGAGGTAAGAGACCACGTCCATGGGCACCTCCTCGGCGAGTTTCTGCGCCAAGATGGTGCCATCGATGGAGCGGCTCCAGGGAGCCGAGGGGTCCGAGGCAGAGGCTCGAGCCGGCTGCTGAGCGTGCGGCTTCCCCCTTGGGGTCCTCTCTCGAGGGGAATCCGGCCGTCCCTGGGGGTCACGGCTGGCGCCAACAGCTCCCAATCCCAACTGAGCCAGCAGGAGGCAGAGGAGTAAGGGGTAAGCCATGGCTCCCATCTGCCTCACAGAGACGAGAGGAGGGAACCGGGGGAATCACTTTTTAAATTTGGATCTTCAATTTCTTAACAGTCAGACTTTTACGAGGAGTCTTCCCCCTTCCCAGATGGCACCCAGTCCAAAGGACTTGAAAATAAGAATGTTTCGAGATTGGCCCCCGGGTGGCAGAGCTACCGTCGCAGAAATCAAGTCACCTGTGGCAGCGCTGGCCGTGCCCGCTGCGCGAGGGGCTGGCTGGGGATTACGCACCTCGTTGCCTGGAGCCGAGCGGGTTACATGGCCTCGCGCTCCCGGCGGCTGGAATCAGCCCGCGTCCGTCGCTCGGCCCGGCCGCCGCCACCGCCGCTCTCATTGAGGCGCGTTCAGGAGCTGCTGCTGCTGCCGCCTCGGCCGCCGAAGACGCTGCTCCATAGTCTCACCCGCCGCAGGTCGTTCCCGCCTCCCGACTCTGGCTCCTCCTTGACCGCTTCGCCGGGAGGCGCGGGGCGCGCGCCGAGACCTGCACCGCAAGCGCAGCCGCGAGTCCCGAGGAGCGAAGACGTCCTTTAAGACGTTCGTGTCTCCGGAGTCGGGAAGGCCGGGCGGCTGGTTAATTACAGCCTTTAGGTTTGGCCGCAAACCACACTCCAGCCGCTCTCCCTGCTCTGGGGAGGAAAGCCAATTTAAAGAGGCAGCTTGGCCGCAACCAAACCCTTGCAGGGCGGCTGCAAGTCGTCTTGTCCCCTGTTTGGTCGGCTCCTCTGTCAATCAGCCGACTGCCATTTGTGGGGCCGGGGCGGGAGCTGTCCAGTGCTGAACCCGAGGCGGCCCGGGGGCGGCGGGGGCGAGGGAGGCAGCGTGCCGAGTCCTCGCACCCACTCGCGTTCCAGATGACTCGGAAACCCGCGGGGGTGGCGGGGGGTGGGCGGGAGAGCGGGGAGAAGCAGGGATTTGGTGGCTCAGAGCGAAGGAAACTTGGACGTACTGAGGAGGAGGGTGTTGGCGTCTTGGCTGCTTAGTTAAATCAGCCTTTTGCCTGGAAAAGAGGGAAGAAGGAGTAGTTTTCATTTCTGGCTGAAATCGGAGAGGACATAGGATGGAGACGTGTCCTCCTGAACACCTGCTCATTTTAGGCAAATTATCAAATCCTCTTCCTTGTCAGTTAAAGAAATGATTCAAACCTACTTGCCTAGGCTGATCTTAGCTGAGGGAGTAATGGAGACATTTACCAGCTGTGCTTTAAGGAGGAAAAAAAAAGTCATATTTAAGGAATCTTTGCTTGGGACCAGTATGGAGGGGAACCTGTGAAAATGTATGCAAGTAAAGATGTGTAAGGGAGAGAGCAAGGGGCAAGACTCATGAACTGTGGGAAAATGAGAAAGAGCCTGTGTTGAGTGAGAAGGGAAATCGTCCTGACGGAGACTTCCTGGAATTGATGAAAAAAAAAAAAAAAAAACCTAAGACTTCTAGTTAGCTAAAGGTTGGGATATCCCAGCAGAGGAAAGAAGAGCTGAAAAAGTATGCCAAACCCCCCAAATTATTGGTAAATTTCTTAACACAGTCCAATTGTTGTTTTTGACACTTATTAGGGAGGGAATTAAAGTGTCTTCTGACACTCCAAAAGCAAACTAGTACCAGATACATAGTGTTTTGTGCAGCTAGCTCCACTTCACATATGCACCTCTATTTTGAAATTCCCCAAGAAAGACAAAAATAGAAAATCTCCAATTTACTTTAATTCCCATCTAACAAAAATGTGCCTCATGGCATTCTAAGCAGGCGCTGCTAAGATTCACTGCACTTTTCATGCCATTCTTCCTACTGAGAAAATACTTAAGGACTGGAATGTAGCTCCAAACGAGCAAAAATCTTTGTCTGCATTAATCACGGAGGTACCTTGAGCACCCAGAATACTACCTGGCACATAGTTAAATCACTAAATAGTTGCTAAATTAGTGAATGAATGGGAAGATCATAATGATGAAGCTAATTTAAAAATCCATCTCATCACCCAAGAAGAGAAGTCTGCCTGACATGCCAGTGATGAGGGTTTTTGGAAGAAGACACAGCAACCAGTTTTTCAAGCTGCAGTCGTTGGTCTCCAAGCGAGTTTTTATAGCTATGCAAAGAGTGGTTATTAGATTTGTATTTACTTACAAGTAGATTTCATGTTCATATCTGACTTTTTGTTTAAATTTTGCTTTGCAATGTATGCTCCTATGCTAAGTAAAGGTCATCCCAGTTTAGTGCTCTTGCCACAGTGTAGGTGGCAATAATAACAAAAAGAGTTTCTGTTTGTTTAATGTATCAAAGTATACACTATGGTTTTCCATTTACTTAACCATGTAAAGGCCGAAGTATAATTTCCTCATTCATTGATCTTTTCAGAAAAACCTACGTAATCAACAATTCTTTAAAATTCTCTAGTATCTAACTTAAAAAAGAAGACATAATTTTATTAGTAGATACTTCTATGAGTAATCCAATGAACTAAGAACATCAAAAGACCTGGATTCTTGTTCTAGCTTTATTTTAAAGAAAGATATGTGGCCTCTGGCAAGACATTTAATATTTCTGTGCCTTAGGACACAAACTGTGTGTGGGCCTTGGGATTTCACATTGAGGTTGTATGTGGAAGCAGCTGAGCTACTCTCCCAGGGTACCAGTCCTTTCCCAAGTGCACATCTGATGAGGAAGATGCAGACTATGAGAGATTCTTGCAATTCTAGCATTCCTTTCAAAGGATCCCCTTCAACCTACATTGCTAAACAACTAGTTTAGCTATGGGTGAGCTGGTTGGAACTCCAATGAGCTAGTTGGATCTAGAGCAGCACTGCCCAATGTAAATCAAAATGGATTCCCTATAAATAATTTTAAATGTTCAAATATAACATTAAGATAGTAAAAAGAAAAAGAGTGAAATCAATTTTAATAATATATTTTATGTAACCCAATGTATCCAAATTGTTATTTCAATAAGTAAACAATGTAAAATAATTGATGATACATTTTACATTTTTTACACTAAGTCTTCAAAATCTGATGTGTATTTTACACTCACACCACATGGCACTTTAGACTAGCCACATTTCAAGCACTCATTAGCCACCAGTGGCCAGAGGCTACCCTAGAGTGCAAGCTCTAGAAGACAGTCCATTGTGGTCCAGGGTGCTAAGAAACCTAGGTCTGTGCAAGATAAGGCACAAAGTTCCAAATGCTCTAGGAGTTCTGGTCCATTTAACTGGTCTGGAGTCAAGGTAACTGAGTAGGTAGAAAATCCTATGTCTATGTTAGTGTCCATCAATAAAGAAAATAATCCAAAAGAGGTTATTTTAAGGGATCAAGGTTTAACACATGCACACTCCTCAAAGCAGACTACAAAATTCTACACCATCTTACATAAGACATATTCATTCATTGAATCAATGTTCATTGAGCCTTTACTATGTATCAGGCACTGTGGTTGGTAGCGTGACAAAATAGGCACATCTTCTGCCTACGTGGCTGTTATAGCCAAGTGGGGAGAATGGAGGTGGGGGGGGAGAGAGAGTGAGAGAGAGAGAGAGAGAAAGGCAAACAAATAAGACAATAGCATGTTATAGTTGTAAGTACCATGAAGAATTAAACACTGCAAAGTGATAAAGAGTGCAACATATGGAAGCAGAGAACATATATAAAGAGATAAAGGTAAGAAAGGCCATGAGGAGGTGACAATTGAGCTGAAACCCAAAGAATGAGGAGTAACTGCCTAGGTAGTAGGTAAACCAGGTAAGTGTAAGATAGAAAGAAACCTATCTTAAGTAGAGGGAATAGTGAATGGATACACTAAGAATACAAATACTATATCCTTAGCAGGAAAGGCAAGTGGAAAAAAAATAAAATGCAATAGGGTCATATGTAATAAGAATGGCACAAACAATTGACACAAAAGGAAGATCATTTCATAAGATAATCAAGACAGGAAGTAGGTTGGGATGACTATCTCCCTCCCCGAGTTATATAAATACTTTGTAGATAGAGATAAATATCCCTATGCATGCCTCAAAATTAAGAACTAAATTGTCTAAATACATATTTATACTTTGTAGGAGCTTTATTGTATTTTAATAGAACAATGGGTACCTTTGACCTATGACCCTGAGTGGGTAAGCCCAAGTAGTTTCTCAACTACTAAAAGTCAAACTAATTGCTTTAGAGCAACTGAATTTGCACTAATGAAAAAGCAGTATGTAATGGAGTATGGGTTCTTAGTTGTCTTTATATGATTGATTCATCACTATTATAAAAAGGGAGATGTGACATTAACATATCTTTAAATAAAACAAAAGTCACAAGCTGTTGAGATCATATTTTATGTGAGCAGTATAGGTTGAGTTATAAAAAATATTTAAATGCAGCTTTAAATCATTCAAATAAGCAAGGATTAAGACTACAGGACATGGTGAAAGGGCACTGGATTGGCCATTGAGAGACCCAGCTGTAATTGGTTCTACCATTTTCTAATCATATGACTCTTGACAATTTCCTCAACCTCCCTGAACCCTTTTTCTGCATCTATAAAATAAGTGTTCTGTGTCAGATACACCATCCACAACTGGAATAATTACAGCTTATTGTGAATCATGGTCTATATATATTTACCAGGAACTCATTATTCCTAGTCCTCCCAGATTTATAAGATAAAGGTTATTTTTAGATTAAATAATAATGGATCTCAGTAAACAAAGTAGCACAACTCCGGTAAATTTCTGATAAGGTAAATAAAACTACAGTCAATATAGTTTTTTTTTAATATAACACAAATTCAGAAATCCTGCTCTTATTCCTGAGCCAACTGAGACTCTGGCTTTTTCTAAGCATATCTTAATCCTGTGTCTCATGTGCTCATTTTCAAAATGAAGATAATAGTCTGTTGTCCAAGAGTAATGGTTTTGAAATTTCAGGATGCAGAAGTATCACTAGAGAATTCGAATTTGTGATCTGGGTCAGATTTTAGAATCTGCATTCTCAGGCGATTCTGATACAAATGATCCATGGAGCACATGCTGAGAAATACTGCCTTGAGCCAAGGAAAAGAACTCTAAGATATTAGGAGAAAAGTTGTTTTGTTTTTCGGGTTTTTTTTTTTTTTTGTCTCTTTCTTTTGTTTTTTTGTGAACACAAAGTCTGTCAATTGTGAAGTGTAGCCTGTGAAAAAATAAAACCAGTAAAAATTATTATTACATTTATATGGCACTTACAGTGGCTAGGCATTATTCTAAGGATTTTACATACCTTAGTTCATTTAATCTTTATTATAACACTGTGAGCTTGGTACTGTTCCCATTTTACAGATGGGAAGCAAACAACCAAAAAATAAATTGTCTTAAGTAAT